TGGATGTGAATTATGAATTTTGACCACTGTATATAGAGAGCAGAGAGGTATAGGATATGTTTCTAAACCTAGTGAGCCTATCTAGACAGCATTTTAGTGCATTCAAATTCTAAGTAGGCAGCTCACTAGATTTAGCAATAAACTTTTACACTCCTTTTTATTCAAAGAAATATTACTGAATTAACAGTTACTGTTATTTGTGCGCTTGCTAACAACTAAAGCACAAAATGAATGTCGATTATCCTCTATTCTCTGTGGTTTCAAGCTGCTGACATCAGAAACTGTTTTTTTAATAATTCCATATTGAAATTACCTGTTGTAATGGCTAATTTATCAGATGGCCAGCCAACAGAGTAATTGTCTGTGTTGAGATGCAGAGGTGTGTAATCGTTGGACAGTGCAATGCAAAATAATTGTGTTGCTTTTCATAATAGCAGGAGAGAAACTGTATCACCACAGCTAAAATGTTATCCAAATGTATTCCCTTTTGTAATACTAAAATACGAAATATGTGCACTCAAGAAAGATGTTTGCATGATCTGCTAATTACTCAAATCAAAAGTCAATATTCTTACTGCTTTAATTTGTACTAGAAATGAAATATGTTCCCTTATTTTGACCACATTTAGAAACAAATACTACTAAAGTAGTTCTAGAGAGCTTTGAGATATTTATCCACATGAATTGTGCATCCCGTCATACATTTGTGGTTGATTTCCAGCGAAAAGAAGCATGAAATGTAAACAAAGTAGAGAGATCAACTGGGGCGACAGACCTTCACCCTTTAGTCCTTGATTTAGACACAAAGCTGCTGGCTCTGTATTGATCTCTGACCTGGAGTCAAGTCCCGTGAATAAATCGGATAATTGAGGAGGGTGTCAAACTAATTGGATTGTTGCCGTTCGCTTGAGGCCATGCAGTGAACGGGAGTCTTTGACAATCATATGCATGTGTTCGAGTCATCATATGGAGATTATTGATCGGAGACGAGAGCAGACGGAGATCTATATACTTCACATTCAAGATAAACCGCTGCCTTAAAACCACGCTCAACATTTCATCTAAATGTACAGTTGTGTGTGGAGTTTTTATTTAGAGATAGGTGGTGTGATAGCAGAAATGTCATCTGGTAGAGACTTTCTACCATGTACCATTTAATGTTCATTTTTTATGAATAATGTTATCTTTTGGTTTTATATTCATTAAGTTCCAAATAAATCGTAAAATCCATAAAGTAGGCATTAAATAATAATATAAAAAAAATAATAATATACTGTAAATTTAAATTGTAGTTTATATTCTTTGTTATTATATACTTTATATATTATTTCATAATTTCTTGATAATTCATGATAAATTCTTTAAAATTGAGACCTCAATAATGTGTATAATGTAATTATATTATTATATGTATAATACAAAGTGAGACCTCAGTAATGTGCTAATGATCATTTACAGTGGGCGTCAATAAATGGTGTTATGTTGTGCGTTTTAATACTAATAAACAGCCTTTTTTCTGTAGAACAACTGCAGTGATTGAGTCTGTGAACTTATTTTCGCCTCATGCAGCTTCATTGGCTATAATACTCACGTGTGTAATCATCGTCCCGTACATATCAAAGTAATCATGGTTTTGAAATGAATATTGAGCAAATTGCAGAAATGATGGTCTGTTTTTCACCTCTCGCCCCTCATTTGAGCTCGGTAGAAACGTTGCAGTACCTCGCGTGTGTTTTTGCGATGTGGAAATTACTGTGACCAGAATGATTAACCCACATTATATTCTATTTAGGCAGCTGCAATAATAATGAGTCTTCACTGGTAATGAGATAAGTACTCTAATGGATGTATTTACCTTTTTAATCACTTGGATTTTACGATGCTGATGAACAACAGCAACTGACACTAATCGCAGATACCCATAATGCACCTTGGATATTGGCCATTTAAATGTTTGTGTTTTCAGCCTGTAGTGAAGATGATCTGGAACTAGGAAATAATGGCATTTATGTTTTTGTTTCTTTAATCTGCAATTTCATATTTTTAATAATTTTTATTATTATTTTAATGTAATAATTATTTAATATAATATTTTTAAATAAAAAAAATTAAAATAAAGTTTTTAAATAAAAATTATTACAAAAATAATTTTAAGCATATATATATACACACACACACAAACAAAATGTAAAAAAAAATTTATTAATTGCATTAAACAATACACATTTGTGACCCTGGACCACAAAACCAGTCATAAGGGTCAATTTTTTTCAAATAAATAAATAAGATTTCCATTGCTGTATGGTTTGTTAGGATAGGACAATATTTGGCCGAGATACAACTATTTGAAAATCTGGAATCTGAAAAAAAACAAAATATTGAGAAAATCACCTTTGTCCAAATGAAGTTCTTAGCTATGCATATTACTAATCAAAAATTAAATTTTAATATATTTA